AAGTTGGACGCTTAACCGACTGAGCCACCCAGGCGCCCCTATACTCTGGCTTTTCCATTTTTTCCTGGTTTTTATTATACTTAATTTTATACTATAGACATGTAACACTTGCATTCTATTCTATAAGTCAGAAGTAAAGCTTCTGTGCTTTGTCTACGGATTGAGTCTAAATGTTAAAAGCCAGTAACTAGCATTGGTAATATTATTTAACGAATACTATTTGCTAGTAACCCAGCAGAGTGGTTAGAACACTATTAAAGGAAATGTGATACAATGTCATTTAAACTTTGTTCCTGAGAAGAGAACATGAGCTAAATACAGGCTCTTCTTTGAATTTCCTTTTGATCTTGTACATTTCTTGTGGGTTATAACAAATCGTTTCTTCTTCAATGTTGTCTCCTTAGCTGGGTCTGATTTTGATTTTGTTTGATCCTTGTGTTGTTGGTGGTTTTTTCCCCCCTTCTACTAGAGTCTGCACAGTGCCAAACTTTTGTGTCTGAACCTGGGTGTCTGAAAGCCACCTGTCTTTTTTTCTAGGCTCAGAGTTTTTTCTTTTCATCCTAGAACTCTGGCAATGCTAGATGGCATTCTAACATTCAAGTTTGCTGATGCCACATTGGGTTCTTCTCTTTATTTTTATTTAATTAATTAATTTTAATGCTTATTTTTGAGAGAGAGAGAAAGAGAGAGAGACAGACAGACAAAGTGTGAGTGGGAAAGGGGCAGCGAGAGAGGAGGACACAGAAGCCGAAGCAGGCTCCAGGTTCTGAACTGTTAACACGGAACCTGATGTGGGGCTTGGACCCACAAACTGTGACATCATGACCTGAACCGAAGTCGGAGGCTTAACCGACTGAGCCGCTCAGGTGCCCCTGGTTCGTTCTCTTTAGAGGATGCCAGTTTTTCTCTTTGGAAGCCTTGAAGAGCCCCGCTTTTCCTCCTTAGTTTTGGAATGTTCTTTCATTCTTTCTTTGCTTCTTTTTTTCCTCCAGGGTCTCTATCTTCTCCTTTCATATTCTGTTCAAGGACTGTGGACCTTCTGGCTCTAACCTCCCTGTCTTGCAACGCTTTCCTGCCCATCTCTGACTTTGTGCTTGAATTCTTACAGATTCTCTTCCTCAACTTCATCTTCCAGATCAACAGTTTGGTCTCCACCATGTAATTAAACTATCCATTACATTTTGGGGCTCATTTCAGAAACTTTAATTTCTAAGAGCTTCTTCTCATCTGAGTGCTTTTTCTTTTTCTTTTTAATTTTTTTAATGTTTATTTTTGAGAGCGAGTGAGCAAGCGAGGGAGTGGGAGGGGCAGAGAGAGAGGAAGACACAGAATCTGAAGCAGGCTCCGGGCTCTGAGCTGTCAGCACAGAGCCCAATGCGGGGCTCGAACCCATGAACCACGAGATCATGACCTGAGCAGAAGTCAGACGCTTAACCTACTGAGCCACTCAGGTGCCCTGAGTGCTTTTCCTAATAACCCGTTCTTACATCATGACTGGAAAAGCCTCTCAACTCCAAGGCTTTTATTAGAACAATTAAAAAAAAATAGGGGTGCCTGGGTGGCTCAGTTGGTTAAGTGTCTGGCTCTGGATTTGGGCTCAGATCATGATCTCACGGTTGGTGGGTTCAAGCCCTGCTTCGGGCTCTGCGCTGACAGCTCGGAGCCTGCTTGGGATTCTCTCTCTGCCCCTTCCCTGCTTGTGTTCTCTCTCTCTCAAAAATAAATAAACAAACATTAAAAAAATTTAAAAAAGAAAAAATTAAAAAATAAATATCTGGTAGGGTGCCTGGCTGGCTCAGTCGGTAGGGCATGCAACTCTTGATCTCAGGGTCATGAGTTTGAGCCCTGCATTGGGCATAGAGTTTACTTAGTGAAAAAATATACATATGTAAGTACACACACACACACACACGTGCACACACGTTTGGAATTAATTCCTTTGGCATGCCCCCCTCCCGTGTCTTTACTCAGTTTCTCAGTTCATCAAGCAGGTGCGGAAGTCTACCACTCCAAAGTTGGATGGTGGGGAGGTTACTCTAGGGAGAAAAATCTTTGGTGGCCTCAAGATCTGTTTCTCTACCAATCCCTCCCCAGGCAGTAGCTCTCCTTTCTTTAGAGAGCTGTGGCCTGAGGAGAAAATTAACAGCTATCAGCCGATCTGCTGACACAGAAAGTACTGGTTGCAGTCGTCACTAAACAACATTTTTTAATAAATCAGCTAGACAAACTGTCTCAAGACTCGAAGACAGATGGAGTCGGAGCAGAGAAAACTACAGCTTTGGTCTTGCAAGCAGTCACGAATATCTCTTCTGTGATTTCCAGGAGCCCCGGGAGAGCTGTATGTGCGCACTGAGCCTCTCATCTTACATCGGAAGGCCATCGATTCCATTTTCAGGCTTGTTCCGGGAAGGAGGTACCATGCTTCCTCTTGCCGGCTTGTGGGGATCATTCCTGCCCAGCTGGATCCTCTTCTGTTGTAGCCAAAGCCAAGTCTTCTCATTTAATCATCTCTGGAGCTATAGAATGAATCGTGGGCACCTTCCTGGTATAATTCCTCAGACGCTTTCCGTTCTTGGTCTCCCACCTCCAAACTAAACAAGTAGAAATCCCAGTCACTAAACTTTACATTCAGAGACTTCAGAGATCACTCCTGTTGCCCCGCAAAGAGTCAGTTTCTTCCGCACTCAGCTTCACTGAAGTACGACTGACAAACACTGAATGCATGAAAGGTGTACAAGATGTTTAGATATGTGTATATTGTGAAATGATTGCTACAATCAAGCTAATTAACATATCCATCACTTCACATGTTACCATCTTTCTGGCTATGTGTGGTGCAAACGCTTAAGATTTACCCTCTCAGAAAATGTTAAAATTTCCAGCATACAATACAGTGTTGGTAACACTCAAGTTGTTGCCATATCTTCATTACTGTGAATAATGTTGCTGTGAACATGGGAGTGCGGATTTCTCTTGGAGAAATTTTTTGAGGAACCTCCATACTGTTTTTCCACCGTGGCTGCACCAATTTACATCCCATCGACAGTGTGGAAGGGTCTCCTTTTCTCCACATCCTCCCAACTTGGCTTGTTATTTTTTTCCCATTTTGATTAACAGCCATCCTAACAGATGTGAGGAGAGATCTCATTGTGGTTTTGATATGCATTTCCCTGGTGATGAGTGATGTTGAGCAACTTTTCACATATCTGTTGGCCAAGTGTATGTCTTCTTTGGAAAAATGTCTATTCAGGTCCTTTGCCCCTCTTTGAATTGGGGTATTTGGATTTTGGCTGTTGAGTTATAGGAACTCCTTATATATTTTGAATATTAACCCCTTATCAGATATATGGATTGCAAATATTTTCTTCCATTATACAGGTTGTCTT